CTGTCAGGTCCGTTAAGACTGTAACAACCACTGAGTAGTCTCTGACTGTAACAACCACTGAGTAGTCTCTGACTGTAACAACCACTGAGTAGTCTCTGACTGTAAACCTTGTGGAGTTTAATTATGACTTGCTTGCAGGTCACTTTGGACAAATGTGCCTGTTAAATGTTAAATGTACAGGGACGCTGAAAACGTTTTTCTTAAAAAGGGGACACACTGGAATTTGCGTTCAGTCCGGGGCCCCTATCAATAATTATTCTGATCAGACAATCAAAATTTGAGGTGTTCCTCTGAGATCACTTTCAAAAATAATTCAGGCAGATCAGAAGCCAACAGCTGTTTTTGACCTCACCCATGGATGGCTCTGGTGTAATGCCATGATGTTAGAAAAACAGAATGAAAGAGACTGACGCCGAATGGGGGTAAGACGTGTAATGATGTCCTTACAGTTGAGAACATTGCACTGCTTCTGATGCATGTTTTGATAATTCCAAATAAAAATGGGTTTTTGTGACTGTAAGTTTTAAATCATCCTATTGTTACATGTCTATTCAACCTTTAATTCTAACGGATACATCAAAACATAGCATGTACAAGAATCACACATAACAAAGCATCCTTTCACTGACTAACTGGTTATCCTGGTCAGAGTCATGAGGAAATTATTATCCATACTGTATATGATTTGAGCAAACTATGAGAGAGCAGTGTTTCTTTAAATGCAGTGATGACAGTTAAGCAAATAACTACAGCAGCAAAAATACAAACTTGGCTGTCATGCCTGTCAATCAGCATCATTTGGTGTATATGCATAAGTCAATAATGCAGGGCCCCAGTGCTGGACCCAATACAGGGCCCCAGTGCAGGGCCCCAGTGCAGGGCCACAATGCAGAGCCCCAGTGCAGGGCCACAATGCAGGGCCCCAGTGCAGGGCCACAATGCAGGGCCACAATGCAGGGCCACAATGCAGAGCCCCAATACAGGGCCCCAGTGCAGGGCCACAATGCAGAGCCCCAGTGCAGGGCCACAATGCAGAGCCCCAGTGCAGGGCCCCAGTGCAGGGCCACAATGCAGAGCCCCAGTGCAGGGCCACAATGCAGGGCACCAGTGCAGGGCCACAATGCAGAGCCCCAGTGCTGGACCCCAGAACAAAAGCATCTCTTCTCTCTGCTGCTTTTATGCCATTTCCTCCCATTTCCGTTGGTTTTGAGAAAAAAGACTCAAAGTGTATTCTTACAAAATGCATATAACTCAAATTCAGAAAACTGATTCATATTCTCCTGAATTCTTAAGATAACCGAAACATTGGTATCCAGCTCACTGTCAAAAAGAAAAAAAAAAGATTTCCCGAGCTCTTTTTAAAAAAAATGTTAGCTCAGTGTTAGCATATTCTGTGCTTTTTGTTGTTCATTTTCATTTGCTGAACCATTGGATGCTGACTGAAGCTCCTCCTCCCCTCGTGTGAAAACCAAACCTCTGATGCACTTTTGTGCCTTATTAGAAATGCCATGCATGGTCACATGTTCACACTCGCACATGAGGAGGTGTCAAACTAATTGGCTCAAACTGGATTGTCCATTTAACTTCACTGGATGAAACATTTATGTAATCACTATTGTTACAATGAAGTGTATATGCAGCTTTGTTCCTCAGACAATAGAAATATGCATATTAAATATCATTCAATAAATATTTGGCTCACTTTTAAACCATAATGGCAGCCCGCATATAACTTAAAACCTGTGTGCTGTTGTCTCTGTATGAAATGGTGTGAACTCAAACACCTGTTCTTGCGGGGGCCAAAATCTTGGGCCCCACGTGCATCAGCATCCACTCAAACACCTCCACCGTCGCCCCGTATGTTTGCACGTCTGCCATTTACACGTCTCACTTGGTAAGGCAAGACCTCACTGGTGTGGAGACTGCAGTCCAAAGAGCAGAAGAGAGAAATCCTCCAACTCCCTGTGCCAGGTGGCTGTGCTCTACGAGAGCTTCGACGGTGGCAGTGAGGTTACCACACGGTGCTGACTGCATGTTCCATTTCAAATTGCCAGTGTAACGCTCGCTCAGAGTCCGTTTCGTGAAAAAAATCACCCTCTATCCGTGGAAACATAGCCATGCAATTCATACCATTTCCAACACTGTACTTATACTAATTAGTTGCCGATATCCCAACAAGTAATTATACCACGGCAAATCAGGAATCCTATATCATGATGGTTGTTTGGTCCATACTCTTCTTATCTACATTTACAGCATGATGTTTTTATGACAAGTTACAGATTAAGAGCAACAGCAAGTCCTTCATCCGGGAATAAATCGCATGGATTCAGGGGTCTGCTGTTCACTCAGTTTCGACGCTTCTCTATACCATCTCACAGTGAAACACGATAAATTTGGAACATCGTGCCAGCATTGGAGGCTGAGGCTGTTGGAAATCTTAAAACTGCATTTTCTTACCGGGGTTTAATTTTCTATTTTATTCCCTTGGTAAGAAAGGAGAGTCACGTCACAATGCTGAATATCTCTCGCATCATCACCCCTGCTCCTCTCTGATGCCACTGCAGTAAAATGTAACGGCTCTGAGCTGTTTTTTTTTTTTATTCCTCCTTACAATTTCCCCTTTTCTGTGGACCGTCACAGTGGTTTTTTGTCTCTCAATCAGTTGTCATGAAGAGGATCTTTGTTTAGCCAAACAAGGAAGTAACCTTGTAAAAAAATACTTATGAAGCACAATTTTGGAAAACAGATGTCACTAACATTTGCTTTTCGGCCCCAGGCCAGTGGCCAAAGGGGCCGGCGGCTTGTCAAACTCCAGGAAAGAAGACGCTTCTTAATTAACTGACCCAGACAAGACAGACTAAACAGGTGAAGGTCACCCTGAGCATCAGGAGAACCTAGAGCACTATCACGGTGCTTCTGGAAAGCACTGTGGCATGATCGTCCAGGTACCAGAAAGGACATCTGAGGAACTGAGCATCTTAATGATAGTGTTGGTTCAATCGAAAAAAAATAAACAATCGTAACGACCTTGCTAATATATGCAGTGCAAAAAAAAATTATACAAGCGCAAACCATTATCCATCCATCCATCCATGCCACTTATATAGGACAGGGTCATGGTGCGTTATTATTATTATCATTATTGTTGTTGTTGAAGTATTATTTTTTATATTTTACAAATGAGTAATGACCTCTGCATCTGAATTATGTCAACTTCCTTTTTTGGCCAACCCATGACTACAGGGTGAAATGACCATTTATTACTCACCCCCTACATAAAGTAAAATACCAGTAAAAAGCACTAACTGGCAGTCCTGAATCGTAAGCTACATCCTTTATATAAGACATGGCAGTGCCCAGAAAGTGCCACATCTGGCATCAGCGCTACGTGCTGCACACAGCCATGCCCCCCACCCCAGCTGAGGCACATGGGTATATCAGGAAGGACAGTGCACATTTCCGTTTGACAGAAGGTTGATTGTTACCTGGAAAGTTTTGCTTATTGTCAGACAACAGTCTGCAGTCATAAATAGCTGGCCAAAACATTTGCTTGAAATATGCATAAGGTGTCACATGGATAACGGAGAAAATGGCTAACTTGTATTATCGATTAAGCTTCACTCAAGACTAATTTAACGCCACCGCTACTGATACAACTAATTTATTAATCATTAACGTTAATGATAACAATCAAACTATTCAGTAACATATCTGATCCTGTAGCAAACTAGTAAGGAGACATTGACGCCGTACAGGCATGAAGATCCAGACGTACAGGCATGAAGATCCAGACTTGCAACATGCTAAGTGCGCACAACATCCACTGAGGTATAAAAAAATCCTGCTGACTGGAAAACATTTGCTAAACTGATTCAGAGAAAATACGAAAACATTGATCTAATCACATTTATGTGATATAAATATAAAATAAGCATGTCACTCACATTCATTATTGAATTCACACTGAGAGCATTCGAAAACACAACACCGATCAATTTATCATCTGTAGGATTTACATATGTTTTAAAATGCCAAGCATATGTACTTATCTAGTATTTAAACCCAGAACATTGTCTTGATGAGTGATTGTTCTTCAGGACAGAGAATCATAAACTGCATCGTCCTGAAACAACCACACATATTATTTTAATCCTGCAGAGTAATTTTAACTTTTCAAAGTGGCTGTTTAAGAGCTGGCAATTGAAATAAGAGGTCAGGTGACCATCTGAATGTTATGCTATTACTGATAAGTGAAGAGCATGTCAAAAGTTTTAAAGCAATTTATTAGGATGGCAATATTCTGTCCTAGGATTGATTCTCCCAAAATGTTTCTGAATTTTTATATGAACACAATGAATTCCCGTTTGTAATGCACTGTCATGTTTTTGTGTCATTTTTGGACTTACATCAGTAAGGATACAGGTTCCCCCTAATGACCCAGGATTCGGCTGAGGCTGACCAGACCGGATGCCTTTCCTGAGAACCATCCAGAACTCCACGTGATGATGGGGACTGTCACTTACGCAATCCGCCAAAAGCACGGCACTGCTACAGAGTGAACAGCCGTCCCTTGTTTGAAACATCATTTGCTGAATGTAAATTCAGACTCTTAGTAAAAATAAAGGTCAAAGAATTCAATAATATTACTTCATTAGGTACACAGTTTCATTTTTCATTAATCTTAATTCTTTGTTTTGGATTGTACTTCTATGCAACTACAATAAATATTCTTTTGTGACATCAGGAGAAGCAGGGCTGCAGTACGCAGGCCTGCCCATCTCACATTCTTCATCTTATGCCATGGCGTTTGCTCTAAAGTGTGACGTTTCCATTTTTCAACGGAGTTGAAATGCAATCCACTCATTGTCTCCAGTCATCTTTTCAATAATTTCATTTCAGATTTGTTCAGTAGTGGTCATAAATATATTTTTCTATGCCTCATTACAGGTGCCAATTCAAACAGTTCAAACAGCTCAAATTTTTATTTGAAGGACTGTTGGGATTTAATTTCCATGCGGGTTCAAAAAACCTTTCTGTTAAAGAGAACTAACATAATCTAGAAAATGAATTTTGCCTTTTTTTATTGTGAAGCATAATTTTCCTGCAAAACATGCACATTTTGGTCAAGCATGCATTTCATGGTCGCAAAATCCTGGTGTGCAGAAAGTTTTTCACACACTTTTTTTATCATTTCACACCAATTTGCCAAAAGTAGACAGCACTGTGTTGCATGAAAACAAGCAAGTATATCCATTAATGGCTAAATGCATTCTGAGACGGCCTCAAGCTTAATTGAAAGCATTCAGAAGATGTTGGGGAAATGGTGTGTAAACCAGAGTTTAAAACAAGGGTATCTAGAACTCTACCCAGATCTTACAGTTTGCATTTTAGATCCAAATATGTGACTGAATTCCTCTCTCTGTTTAAACATCATGTTAAGTATTGACCTTTGTCCCTTTCAGGCAAAAGTAATTTCTTAATTAATGAATGTCGAAGCACAAATGCGCTAATACATCCGCACGAAGAAGAAAAAAAGTTTTCAGATACTGTAGCTTGTTTACGATCACCACGTGCTTTGGCTAACTAATATTGCTTTCTGCATATAATCAAATATACCATAAAATAAATAGAATTTAATACGCAAATGTAGCATATGGAAGACGGACATGTGCTCACGACGGTTTTTGCCATCGATGAGCTGACATATTGTTTCACGGTTTCCAAAGTTACTCTTATTGTCTATAAATGTCAGTAGAACAATTGATGGGTATTAAAACTGTCAGACAACCATCGCATTCATTTCAATCCCATGCATCATTAATATATGTAGCTTATATTCATGTATATTGGCATCGGCCAGTATAGGGAATCTATAATATTCGGCAGCAGATGATAAAACGTAACTTTGTGTCGTATTTTATGTTTATCTATTTTCAGCCATCATCTGTAACAATAAGTGCATTGCTATAAACTGAAAATGCTAACTTAAGTTATTGATAAAGTGTACAGTGAGACAAATGAGAATTTCATGCAAAAATATAAACGGAAAACCATTCAAACATATAAACCGATACACATATACAGTACACATAACCCCCGACATTAAAATCACGAAATAAAATGCACATGACTACTTACTTAAAAGAACCACATAAAGAGCTCCTCGCCCGAAGCCTATTACGCCCGTTCCTGTAAAGTTATAAAAAAAAAATATATGTCCTCATTCGGAAATAAGACGCAGGTTGAAAACAATGTTTGAGTCAAACAGAAACTCTCACGGATAAAATGTAATCTAAATGCGCAGAAGCAGCTGCCTCCGCCGCGACATCGTCGCCCTGCTCTGGGCAGAAAGGGGAAAAAGCAGAATGAGTATCTGAGTTACCCTCCTCCCCCCCCCCTTGCTGCTCCCCCCCGCCCGCCCGCCGCCACCCCCGCCTCCGCGCCTCTCGGGTACCGCCGCAGCATCTAAACACAAACTTGCTTCACGCCACCGTTGAGTAAAACATACAGGGTGGTTTTTGTCAATAATTTTAACAGCTTTCTTTTTGTTTTTTTCTTTGTTAAAATTGTATAGTTACTAATTGTAATAGGCCTATATTTTTTCATGAGTGCCATTGTTCTAAACGTGCATAATTTGGCGCATTAAACTTAGGTTTCCAGCGCAATTTCTGGCTTCCTATAATTATTCCGTAACCGATTTTGTAGCATATTTATTGTCATTTGCAATAAATTTACCGAATAATCTGTGAGCAAATCGGTGTATGAACTTCAGCATGCCGTTAAAAGGCCCGTTTTGTTTTTCTTTTGAGAAAAAATGGCTTTTATTAAGAGTACTTTGATTTTTGGATGGAGGGATACATTTGAATTTATTTTTTTTAAATATAGGAATTTACTGTAATATGTATGCCTCTTGATGTATGGACCAGGATTCTGTGTCGTTACTGATTTATGCAATACAAGAAGCCAAGGTAGACCCCAGGATGGTGGACGTCTCAGTTTAATATTTACTTTCTTATAGTCAATCTGCATCTCAACCTGGATTCAACCGGATCTGAATTCACACCGGATCCTTTGCCTCAGATGAGTAAAGCTCCCATAAAACTACGCAAACGACATCCCTGGCTTCACTGGGAGAGGTCGATCACAGCTGTGGCCACAGTGGTCCACAGGTACTACACTTTGGCCACAGCTCTCGAAACCCCCACCCCCCTCACTGCACCACGTCCTGGGGGGACCACAACCACAGACAGCGGCTCCTGGGCTGTTCCAGGCCCCCGGGGAAGCAGCCACACAACAGCAGGGACATCTGACTTCAACGACCCATTTCTATTGTTACTTAGCAACCAAGCCGCCAGGAAACCTACATATTCCCCTAAACAGCAGTATTACCAGCGTGCTGTTCAACGTGCAAAGGCACAACTGCAGGTAACACTTTCAGTTTCTTCTGCTATTACACCACCTACATTGGAGACCTGCACATTTCCCAATATATGTGCACAGTATGTTACGAATTTATTTAAATAGTAAATTGAAAGCAGGCGACCGCATTCTGTAGCACAAACGGTGACTAATTACAGCAAACTGCATAACATCAAGTTGGAGGCTGGTATTCTGTTCTGCACCACAGTGCCTTTCTGTTTAAGCCTGTGGTCTACCACTTTATGTTTTATACAGCAAAAAATGGACCCATTAGAAGTTCTGTGTTGCCCCAAGCTGTTTAAAATATTCACATATTTGTACATCATTTGTATTGACTGGCTTGCACCATGTTAGCCTGATGCTACACTATTACAATAAAATACGGCAAAACTTTTCGCTTTTCTCACTAACTTTTATGCCGCTTTAATTTACGAAAACTTCCCGCATGCAGACCATCTGCACAAGACGCTGAAATGGGGTAGAATTAAGTTTCAGGATACGTTTTGGTTGGATATTTGGTTAATTTTCAGACCGGTTTATCTAAGTCAACAACAAATGTGCACCTCTTGTTATCATGATCATTATTATTGTTATGTTTAATTTATATAGACTAGTTCCTTTCCAGAGCTCCACGTCTCTTTGCACCAAACATTTCGTTTCAGACAAAAATAAAATTTTGAGAGGAATCAAGAAATTCGATTCCCTCATGTAGGCGTTTGCGTTTTAATACTGAATGTGAATATTTGAAATGTCATCCAGTAATTACGATGAACAAGCAGGGATTACGGTAACATTAGTAAACACTGAAAACAACAATTATTCAGTTGAAAAGTATGTGTTGCTATGAGTTCAAATAAAAGGGCACAGTGGAGATGCGTTAGGACCATGGGAGTCGGTAGGTCCGATTACTCTGGGCTATAGAAAAAAACCTCAAGCCCCAGATCTTTTCAATAGATAGAAACAATCCTGGTTGGGACTGAAACCAGGTGAGGCTGCATGGTTTGGTATTTTCTTGTCTTCGATGGAGATACGAGCTTGTTTTAAAAAGGTCATAAAAAATAGAGCACCGCAAAACTTGCCGAGCTCAAAAGTTTGCTGTATATATCATGGGCATGACATCTTTCCGATGAAAGTTATCACAAAATCGTCGCACAATATTTGGTATTTTAAACATATATGTTACATGCATTCGAGTTGCAAGCGATTCGGTGACATTTCGGTTAAAACCACACTTGCGAGACAAAACACCTGCCCTTTTGTTCGCAAGGCAAACCGCTCAGGAGAGTCTTTTTTCCACCTCGTACCCCACAGTGTGCTCTGTCCCGACAAGCGCGCTCCTGCGAGCGTCACGCGGCCGAGCGCTCGCACCCTGACCTCAGCGCAGGAGCTGCAGACGCAGACGCAACCCTGCCGGCTTCCGTCCGGTTGCAACCGCTCTGCCTGCGCTGGTGCAGCGGGGGTGGGGGGGTTGCTGTCTTTTGTTTCAAATCACTTCCTACAAGTGGAAGGAGGGGGTGGAGAGCGGTACTACTTTTCACTCATTTGTACAGCCGGATGTAAATGATGAGACATCCTCCTAGCTCAAGTGACCTGTATATATTTTTTTTGTTTATCGAGCCCGCGTGTACACAGTCATGAGAAAACCGCACACCACACAGTGCCAGGAACTGGAGAGCAGAGGTATCGCGCTCAGCACAGTGTATTACCGACATGGCACTCTACCGCCCTCTATCTGTCACCTGTGTTTATTACGGAAAGTGCGTTACTTAAATTCCACACTTAATCATTATTCATTTACTTTGTGAGTGGCCGAGCAGTCTTGGTGGTGCCGATGTGTTCGCTGGTCACAGTTCTTCTCCAGCATTGCTGAGGTTGAGTGCTAGAGAGGTTTAGTAAGAGGATTAAACTTACAAAGGTGGTCACTGCCTTCTGATAGCTTGAAAGATTGGCTGATAGCCAATGCATTCCGTCATCCTTCACCCAACACTGGCCCGAGGAAGGTTTGATAGGGTTAGACTGCAGCACTAATGGAGTGCTATGAAAATATTTACCTTTGTTTTCTCCCCGAAGATGTGAAATTACAATAATTCTGCTAGGAATGATTTTCATGGTACATGGTGCAAGTCACTCTTAACTCTTCTCACCAGGGTTGACTGGAAGAAGGCTGCATTGTCACCAGTTTCATCATAAACTCAAAAAGCATAGACACAGCCACCCATCTTGTAACTACTTATCCTGGTCAGGGTTAGGATGATAGATGTGTCATGTTAACATTATAGGCAGAAAACAGCTCTATTATTACATTGTTTTGTGTCATATGTAATTTATCACACTATTTTATAGCAGCATTTAACAGCCTGCAAACTCCATATTTACATTACATTGCCGAATGTCCACAAGCTGTTAACTGCTGTTATAAAATAGTTCAAAAACAATGTAATACGTAGTAGAGCTGTTTTCTGCCTTTTTCTGTTTGCACATTATGTTGTGTGTGTGTGTAAAGATGTCTGGGAGACCTTGCTGGGAGGGATGCTTTATAAAAATGAATCACACTGAATTCAGTATTGACGGAGTCCCCACAATGATTTGTTTTATAAGTCTGGCCTCAAGCATGAATTAAATCTTCACGACCTCCGCTGATCTCGCAGCAGCAGGGTCACATGGGGTTTGGACAGACCTGTGAACTTTCATCCCTGACTTGTGCAGTATTTTACTAAGAACTCCCAATGCTAACATTTGCTCTTTGAGCTAAAGACACAAACCCTCTAATTCAAAGGACTTAATCAGATGCTGACATCATGCTTGGAGAGAACATTGGCCTTGGTGTGACCCACTAGCACTGTCATTTCTGTCACTAGTTACTTTTACTCAGATGTTTTATTCATTGTGAAGTATGTATTTTGTAGAATTATCGATAAATAAGCACTACATAATTGTCTAAACTAGCTTCAAGGAGTTAAAATCAATTGTTTTTGTTGTAAGATTGGACAAAAGGTAGGTGAGAAATACCCACAAAGGAGCCATCCCAACATCAGCGCCAGGGTTTCTGTCCAGCGGTGCCGGAGTCCATCAGGCAGCACGTTGCAGGAAGCAGAAGCCTGTCAGGACCCGTCCCGGGGCCGCTGACTGGGCAGGAGGTTCCTGAGCGAGTCGAGCCGGAAGACGACTCAAGTGTCTGTGGCTGATGAGATTGGGGCGAAGCCACAAAGAGCACACATGGCAGGCAAAGACAAAAGCTGTCGTGCTAATTATCTCCATGATAATAGTATTTCATCTCACGAAGACTTAATTAGGGGCACTAGGTAGCATAGTGGTTAAGAATTTCTCCCCAGTAAAATCATTTGCGTAAATATGTGTAAACGGCTGAAATTGTAGGTCACGCTAAATTAAATTTGAATATATTTAGTGCTGCACAGCACGTATCATTTAAGATCCATCAGTATTAGCCTGTATTGCATGTTATTGTGGGTAAAGTCTTCCTGAATCATCCTTACGTAAAATCGCAGGACATAGAGATTCTCTTCTATAAGAGGCAGAAACAGGAGAGAGCAAAGCCGGCAGCCTGTAACCATTTTCAGGGTTAGGGTGCCAACAATGATATAATCGATAATTCTATTATAATAGAACTTCGTGGTGACTAATGGGGCGTACAGAGCTGGCCCGTGACTTGTGTACGTCGCTAAGGACACAGCTTGGCCTTGTGAAGGTGGGGTCTGAAATAAAAGCAGCGCGCCTGAGGTACACAGCTGACATCTAGTGGTCACATGCTGCAGCTACATACTTCCTGCTTTTTTTGTTTCGGTGCAGTAAAGACAAGGAAGGTAACAGAAGGCATGAAGGATTCGAGGCTCCTACACTCTCCCTGATGTTATCATTCACCAGCAGCGTCGTAGCAGTTACCAGGTTCTGAGTTTTTAAATCCCTTGCCTAATTAGAAATTAATACATTTTCTTTGGAAT